AATCCTAAATTTTCATTAAAAATTTCTTTTATCATCTTTATCATTAGTCTTTTTCCATTTATCCGGCCCAAGATAGAGAAACACCATAAAATTATCACTTTATGGATAGACGCAAACATTGAAGGCATATCATCATCACAAACCAGAAATAATAACCAGTAGTAAATTATGAGTTCACTTTACCTTTGGGGTTGGTCTCCGGACCAGGAGGAGGAGAAGGAGTAAGCACCGGTGGCGGTGGTGGCGGAGCTGCAACTGCAGATGCATTATAAAAAGGGTAAACTTCATACCTAACATAACAACTAGGATACATTACTCTTGCGCCTATTTTTCCGCTGCAACAACCAGGGAGACCTGATATGGCTCCTCGGAGACACCTATTACAGTCCGTACTTGACAGGTCCGGCGTGCACTGGACCAGACTGTACAGGGTCTGAAACGCAGAAATATTAGCCTCCTTTGTGGCGAACCTTTTAGCGACTGAAGCAGCCTGAGTCGTCGCATCGTTCATCACCGTCCCCACTGCATCGTTGAATCGGGTCGGATCCGTGGCATTCTGAGTGTTCCACATACTCACGCTCACGGAATTACTCACGGTGGAGAAAATCGATTGGTTAGAGTAGCGGAGGAGGCACTCGTCGTACCAAAGCACAACATCTTTTTCAACAGGGCAACGCTGAGTGGAATCTCCTGCGGCCAAAGCAACACAATCCCGACAAACAGTGGTAGAAACGTCGCCACGGCAGAGGAAGAGGCCGTAGACCATGTTGGGATTTTCCCCGGAGGTGGTATTATAAAACCCATTGGTGACGGTGGCGTTGGAGGAGAGGGCGGAGAGGAGGGTCTTGAGATTGGATTGATAAGTGCTGTTTGCGGTGAAAGTGGTCGTGTTAGGGCAGTAGTTGGAGAGGAAGGTTCCGTTCTGAGCTTCAGTTGTAAAGCAGAGGAAGGAGAGTAAAAACAGGGTAATGAAAAATTTGAAAGCAGACATTTTTAATGATCAAGTTCTCTGTTTCTATGGCCTCGGATCACGGGAAGAATCGAATATATGAACGAGTCTGGGGGATCTGTTTTTCAATTTGATAATTAAGCACTGTGGACTAGTGCGGTAAAGATGCAAGCTTGCACGCCGGGAAAGAAGACTTCCTAACGCCATGTCTAATTTGGAAATAGTCAAGTCAACTGTTTAATCGAGAAAAGGGGAGAAGACGGGAAGTTTCCCTCTGGGATTAGTTGGAATTGGAAATAATAATTGCAGTACAGATTAGAAAGAAATGCTATTTATTTATCTATCAGACGGCGACAGGGCACCTGCACCTCGCGGCCCAAACCATAAGACGACTTGAAAGTTGCATCCTCCAAGTTTTACCAAAAAAACAAAAAAGTTGCATCCTCCAAGTAAGGATTGGGTTCAAATTCCCTCAACTCAATTATAAATCCGTTCAAAAAAGAATAATCAGACGGCGACAGAAGTGAAAATTTGGCCTATCTAAAACGGTAAATTACCAAAATAGTCCCCCACTTTGAAATTTTTATCAAAATAATCCTTAAACTTTAAAAAGTACTAAAATAATACGAACTTGATTTTTCAGGATCACCTTCGTTCATCCGTTGACGGCATGCTGATGTGGCACGTTTTCTGTTTAAAATATAACTTTTTCTAATTTTTAAGTATTATTGTAAGTGGAAAATTAAAAATTATACTATATTAAATTTAATTTTAAAAATGTAATGTAGATAATTGATCTCTATTAATTAGCTAATATTTATCAAAAAAATTAGTTAATAATATTTTAAATAGGAATTTACTCAAATGCCCTACACTGAGTGCAAACCTGGTCCTACAAAGTTCTTGCACCTAAGCCCTTTAGTTTTCTTGGACTTGGATGGCTAAGAGCGTGTACAAGGCACGCTCACTTCGTTACTCATGTCAAAAAAGTGAACAAAGCTCTAGCATTTTGTCTATTGGAACAATTTCCAAAACTAAGCATTTTTCTGTGAACGAAGACACCTTGGCTTTTTTATTTTAACCCAAAAAATTCCTCTCTTAGCTGCTGTCACGTGCTGCAACTGTCCCTTAATCTAACGATTTTGAGCCGTTGGATCAAAGGGTTTTTCTTTTTTTTAAAAAATTCAGTTCAAAATTTATTTTAGTTTATAAAATATAAATAAAATAAAATAATATTAATATGAATTTTAGAAAAGTTCTATGCATTAAAAGGAATGTATTCTATTAGATATTATATTTAAAAATTAAATATATAAAAATATAAATTTATACAAAATAATATTAACTATAATAATACGGTAATAAAATGTACTTTTTAATTGTTTATATTTTGAAAGCGGTACTTACATTAATAATTTTAATATCTATTCTTAAAGATAAAGGAATTATTAACCCAAAACTTAAATGTGCTATTACTTTATTTCTAAAAGAAAAACATGATCATTGACAGTACACAGGTGAATGATTCTTGCACATAACTGTGTTATTTTTATATAGTATATGACTTACAACTGAAATTTTTTTTTTTACTTTACACGTCATTCTTTTTGTTAAATTTTATTTAATAAGAAGAATTTCATTAAAAAAAAAAACCTGCATCATGAAGAATATAGCAGGAGAACCCTTTGCTTGAATTAGTGTTAAGTTTCTTCTTCCTCTTTCAGAATTAATAGAGGATATATAAGTGGTGGCGTGCCTAGTTTTACCGAGGGTCTATTTCAGTAATTGAGACTATTGCATTGACTGACTCAATGATTGATCAGATTCTAGCTCCTTTGCCAGCTCTGTTTTGCGACGGAGGAAAAATGCAGGCTTCTTCGGTTTAGGTAGCGTGAGTTATAACTGCTGAGCATGAGAACAATGGTTGCCATTGTTGGCCTGTCAACTGGATCTTCCTGAACACATAGCAAACCAATTTGGATGCACCTAATGACTTCATTTCTTAAATACGAATCTCCAAGAATTGGGTCCAACAGCTCCATTGCTCTCCCATCCTTCCAAAGTTTCCCAGCCTGCACAAACTCATCAACCAATTTTTAAAATTGTTGTCCTTTATTCTTTCTTTCTTCTTGTCATAGATGGAAAATGTTGTCACCATCTACAGGGCGAAATTAATTCAGAGGTTGATGTATACTCACATAGCTAATTAGGTCTCTAGTTCCTTCTATTTGACAAAAGTTACCGTTCTTCTTGCCGCTTAAAATCTCTAGAACTAAATCACCAAAACTATACACATTTGATTTCATTGAGAATTGTCTATGCATGGCATATTCTAAAGACATGTAGCCACTGAAAAACCAGCAACAAGGTTGGTATAACAACAACAGAGATCATTTACTTGCATGTAAAAATGTATAGAACAACTAGGAATACAATATATCATTGTGTTTATACTACAAATTGCAATTTTTTTGTTACGTGTTAATGGATAAGATGATGTCACATCAAATTTATTGTTGAGATTCAGATCTGTAAAAATTGATTTTGAGGAACAGTGGAGATTATTTGTTAAGTTATAGTTTAAATTAAAAAAAAATAGAAATTCCTATAATTTAGAAAGTGCAATTGAGAGATTAAGGTAGCAACAGAATTGTACAGGTGGCAAGATCTAATGTAGCCTTAATCTAGTCTTGCTAATGTGCCCATTATTATTTTTGAGAAATTATCCATGATTTGTAACAATCAGCAGGTGACAGAAAGCATATAACAAGAAGCTTTTAGATTTTTTAATACACAACAGCCAGCCTTACACAGAACTCATCAAATTTTCAATTATCTAGTTTTGTAGTGATTGATTACCTTAACTTGCAGATTTCAGTGTTAGCACAGATTCCAATAGATTTAAGTTGTTTCCAGCATTCAAGTAGTCAAATTAGTTTGTGTAATTGCTTCTTTAATTTCCTTTCATGCAATAAACATCAACTTTACTCTAATTTGCATTTCATTCAGTTCATTTATGATCTATTAACTTTAAATTCATAGTATTGGTAAAGTTTTGAGATTGTCCAAGGTAGATTACCAACCCATTTTGTAGGAGGGCATCCCTCCCTTTTGCAAATCATCTAAAGGGCATAGAACTCAATCTTAAACCAATGTTCTTCCAACCATCTTAATGGAGGTCGACCGTGTCAAAGGAAAGGGTCATTAGGAAAATTCTTTTTTCTTGCTTTTCAGAAAAGTAAGTGACACATTCGCATCTAAATTCCACATGTGCGAAGCCACTTGAGGATTTTTGAGAAAACACATTATGTGACTATATTTTAACAAAATCTTGTTAGTATTAGATAATCTTTCGTTCTATTGATTTTTTTTCTCAAGTGACTCAATAGTAATAATGTGACCATAAATGAATCAACTATGGAAATTAGACAAAAAGTAAGGTGTTACTACTTATTGGGTTCCAACAATTCTTGTCTTTCCTTGAGTTTGACCAACTTCAAAAACCCTTGCCATTCCAAAATTTGAAATTTTTAGATTCATGTCACCATCTAACAATACATTACTAGCTTTGAGATCTCGATGTATGATTTTAAGTTGAGAATCCCCATGAAGATAAAGAATTCCTCAAGCAACTCCTTCTATTGTCTTGTAACGTCTTGACCAATCCAACAATCCTTGTCTATGATGACCTGCATAAGAATTAGGCAAATCAAGTTTGACATACTTACATTTTTCTTGTATGTGTTGGAATTCTTTAGAGTGAAGATTCTTGCAACAATTGGGTAGTGTTGATGATCACCTAAAATTTTCAAAAAAATTATACATAAATATATATAATATATATGAGAATATAATGAAAATTAGATGTCAAAAATGAAAAAAGAAAAGAAAAGAATTGTCATTCGTGTAAATTATAAGGTGAGACTAATTACTTAAAACATGATCTGCATATCAATCAAAGTTTGGAGGTATGATTAAGTGAGAAAGAACATATGCATACCTAACATTTGAGAATTTATTCAACTTTTTATTCTTTTTTTTATTTTGATTAAGTTGACTTTAAAAGTAAATTGATGAAATTACGGAGCTCGAAAATACTTGGACTGAATTGAAACAAAATCTAAAACATGTATGCACAATTGCAATAAAATTAAAAGTGAAGGAACTGATTTGATTAAATTTGAAACATGGAGGACTGATTTGAAAAATTTTAAAATTCTCGAACTAAATTGCTTGATTTCAAAAAGTTTTGGACAAAATTAACATTAAAATAAAAATGACTGATTCTTTACCGTGGTCATTCAAATTAAATATAATTAAGCTTGATTGATTAGGAATTAATTAAATAATTAATTGAATTAGTTAACCTTTAATTAAAATATTTAGAAAAATCTAAATATTTTAATTAAAGACAATTAAATCAATAATTAAGATTAATTAAGAGCAAACAAATTTCTACCTTTATACTAAATTAAAGGACTAGTGATCAAATCTTATCATAAAAAAATATACTATCTTATCATTAAAAAAAACACTAACTTGTGATGATAAACTGATTGTCAACCAAAGGGACCGCTTCTAGGAGCTTCTCTCTCTAGGGTCTCCCACTTTGATCTCCTGAGGTGCTTACCTTCAGGTTTTCTTCTCTTTAACCTCATCCTTCTGGCCGGCCAGAATCTTCAACCGTCGCCGTGGTTTCCTCAAGTCTGAAATTTGTGGTGTTGGGTGCTTTTTAACTGCTGCAGGGCCTGTGATTGTGGTTATTGTTTGGTTATTTCTACCCATCACTGTGGTGTTTCTCAAGTCTGAAACTTGTGGTGCTGGGTTCTTTTTAACTGCTGCAGAGTCTGTGATTGTGGTTATTGTTAGGTTATTTCTACCCGTCGCCGTGGTGTTTCTCAAGTTTGATACTTGTGGTGCTGGGTACTTTTTAACTGCTGCAGGATCTGTGATTGTGGTTATTGTTTGTTTTAATTCTACCCACCTCTTTAACTCAATCCAGGTGGATAGAATGTCTGATGCTCACCAACTAACCTCTAGTGGTGAAATTCGGAGGGCGCCCGATCCTCCTATACTGCGCCTCGTTCCGAAAGAGAAGGACCAGGACGAACTTCGCAGATTTTCCTTTGCTGGTCATTTACTAGCCGATGAAGATAATGTTAAAAGTGGAGTCGTGTACAGCATTTTGAAAAGCGCATGGAGACCCAAGGGAGGACTGGAGGTTCATGAGCAATCCAAGAACACCTTTATCTTCCTTCTTTCTGATGAGACAGAGAAGGATCGCATATTCCAGGAGTCTCCATGGTTTGTGAAGGGGTCCCACATCATCCTTAAGGAATGGCCTGATTCACAGAGATTTGATGAAATTGCCTTCTCACATTCAGCCTTCTGGGTACAAGTTCATGGATTACCAAAAGGCTGTATGACCCCAGACAATATTCAACTCATTGGCTCCCTTTTCCCTCGGTTAATTTCTTGGGACAAATCTACTTTGGGGGGACTAGAGAGCTTCCTACGCCTAAGAGTTGAAATAGATGTGCATCTTCCACTATTATCAGGTTTTCAATTTCGAATGCAGGGGGATGAAATCTGCTCAGCTGAATTTAAATATGAAAAATTGGTTGATTTCTGTTATAGATGTGGCATGCTTGGCCACACGCAAAAATCTTGCAATGACTTTAGATGGAAAGATGAAGATGGAAACTATATCACACAACCAAGACCCCAATATGGCCCACATATGAGGGTTCAAGCTTATTCTCCGAGGAAGCATTTCGGGTCCATTCGCGAGACAAAGCAAAATCCGCAATTAAACGTGGAACCACCGGCAAACATGGCACAACTCCGGCATGATGCAAAACAGCCGGTCACAAACACACCAGTCAATGCAGGACCGAAGTTGGTGCATGACGTGGAAGATATGACACTGTTGGGTGGAGTACCTGCTGAGGTTGAGCGCGTGAACCAGCTTTCCTCAGAATCGCCGCCCCACGCATTTATTGCCTGCAAGCCTTCTTGTAGTGACATAATTACTCATCCAGCTGGAGGATCACCATCCTTGCTGCCATCCACGTTCACCCCAGAGCAGAGAACTCCCCCATTAAATGCGATTGTGACCGGAGAAGATGCCTTCTTATCTGTTCAGACCCTTGAATGTTCAAGAACCTCGGACGAATTCACTGGACACCAACAAACCTCCTACCCTATCCAAATTGACCCAGAGAAGTCTACTATGGATGTTGAAGTGGGCTTCATTCTATCCGAACAGGTAAAGGCCCATTTATCACTGGGAAGGTCGGTAAACCCCGGGAAAAAACGTAAAGTTGAGATTGGGCCTTTTGAGCAGATATTTAAACGGGCCTACATTAGAGATGCTGAAGCCTCTGGACTCCTATGCTCCCCTATTCAATTACAAGCAGCCCTCGCAATGGATAGATCCGAGTTCCACAAACAAGATCAGCAAGGTTTCTTCACAAATGTAAATGAGACTATTACTGTGAAGAAAATTCGTAGAAGAATCCGTCAGCAAGCCCTCAATCATCATGTGCGATTTCAGCCAGATACTAGAGTCTCCCGTCTCCAAGACTTTCATCCAACACAGATCCCCTTTAATGAACCCCCATTTATTCCAGTACTTCCTTTAGTCAATACAACTCCAGGTACCTCCTCCACATGCTCACCTAGTTCTCCATCAACTAAAACTGAGCAATCTCCCCACAATAATGACACTTATGGGGCTTTGGTGGCTGCCCCTTGGAAGCCACCCTCACCAACATGAACATCCTTTCTTGGAATTGTCAGGGCCTTGGGCAAGCCCTAACAAGAAGAGTGCTGAAAGACCTTATCTTTAAACATCGCCCTTGCTTAGTTTTTCTGATGGAGACTAAAAAGACCATGAGGTATCTGGAGGGATTACGAAGGAGACTCTCTTTTGCTAACGGAGTGTATGTTGAACCACAAGGCTATTCAGGGGGTCTAGCTTTGTGGTGGACAGACGAAGTTCATATTTCAATCTTTTCATCGGACAAAAATATGTTCGACGGAAGCTTGTCTGATGCGGAATATAATGTCACTTGGCATTTTTCATTTATATATGGGGAACCTAACATCCAGATGCGAAGAGATATGTGGAGTAGAGTGATTGAGTTGAAGCGTGCTGCAGTGATTCCTTGGCTGTTAATGGGGGATCTCAATTTGGTTGGAGACAGCTTTGATAAAAAAGGGAAATCGCCTTCAAAGGTGCGAGATACACATGGTCAAGAGGGAGCATCAGTGAAAGACTTGATCGTGCCTTAAGCAATGAACGGTGGAGTCAACTCTTTCCAAATGCTCAACTTTTTCACTGCACTAGGATTGGATCGGATCATTGTCCTCTGCTACTATGTTTAAAAGCCATCCCTACAATCCCTAGGAGACAATTTCGCTATGAGCTTAAATGGCAGCAACACAGGGACTATGAAGGAGTGATAGCTCAAGGTTGGGCAACAGAACGATCTGGCTCTCCTTTGTATTGCATGTCCTCCAAACTTGCTCATTGTAGAAAACATCTGATGCACTGGTGGAAACACACAGGAAGAAATTCTCGGCTTGAGGTGGAGCGATTACAGAAGGAACTTGATCAGTTACAATTAGAAGAACAATCAGAAGCAAACTTATCCCGACAAAGGCTGTTGATTGATGAAATTAATTCCCTGTGGCTACAGGAAGAAACACATTGGTTCCAGAGAGCCCGCACCAATTGGATACTCCTTGGCGATAGAAACTCCAAGTACTTTCATGCCATGGCCTCTCGCAGAAGACAGAACAATTACATTTTCCAGCTACAGAATGAACAAGGCACACTTTTGGAGGGGACTGACTCTCTTTTGGATCATGCTTATACCCATTTTCAACAGGCCTATGATTCCCTAGAAACTTGCTCTTTTAATCAGATTGAGGGACTTATAAGACCGTTGGTGACTACAGAAATGAATGAAGACCTATGCCGGGCTGCTTCGGAGGAAGAAATAAGAGCCACAGTATTCCAAATGGGCGCACTAAAAGCCCCTGGAGTTGATGGTTTTCCAAGGTGCTTCTACCAACAGCATTGGGATCTGGTTGGCAATGATGTTTGTAGGGCTGTACAACATTTCTTTACAAATGGTTTCATGCTTAGGGAGATGAACAAGACAAAAATAGTTCTTATCCCTAAAGTCAAAAATCCTAAGTCTGCATTTGTTCTTGGAAGGACCATACAAGATAACATTATAATTGCACATGAAGCTTTCCACGGCTTACACCTAAAAAAGTCAGGTAAGCATGGTATTATTGCTTTGAAACTAGACATTCGGAAAGCTTATGATAATGTTAATTGGAGTTGCTTGGAATATATTATGAGGGCACATGGGTTTTGCGATAAATGGATCCATATGGTGATGCAATGTGTTTCAACTGTGTCATATACAGTGGGAATCAATGGCAACCAAACTCCTTTTTTCAGCCCTCGACGAGGACTTCGCCAAGGAGACCCATTATCCCCATATCTTTATCTCTTCATAGCGGACATTTTATCTCGGCTACTAACGGCAGCCACTTCAGCAAAGCAACTTACTGGCTATAAGATCAGAAGACGAAGCCCGGTTATCAGCCACCTTCTCTTTGCAGATGACTCCTTAATCTTTTGTCGGGCTACAATCGAGGAGATATGCCAATTGCAATCTATTCTGCAAGTCTATGGAGATGTTTCAGGCCAGAAAGTCAATTTCTCTAAATCTACTGCCATGTTCAGTTCAAACACTCCAATGGAGGTACGAAACTTAATCTGTAATAAACTTGACATACGAGTCGAGTCGACTTTCTCAAAATATCTCGGTGTTCCAATCTCATGGGGGAGGTCCAAAAGGGACTGCTTACAATATGTTGTCGATAAAATACAGCAAAAACTCACTTACTGGAAAAAGAGTTTGTTATCACAAGCTGGTCAAGAAATTTTAATTAAAGCAGTAGCTATGGCCATCCCCACCTTCACCATGTCTTGTTTTCTTTTCCCTGCAGGAGTCTGTCAGGATATCAACAGAATCATCAGGGAATTTTGGTGGGGCCAACAAGCTCAGGAAAGGAAAATATGCTGGGTCAGCTGGAACCAACTATCAAAAAGCAAGCATGTGGGAGGTATGGGCTTTAAAGATCTCTACTGTTTTAACCTAGCAATGCTAGCTCGACAGGCTTGGAGACTATTGCAAAATCCTAATGCCTTATGGGTCCGTGTCTTAAAAAGTCTATACTTCTCAGATTCCTCCTTTTTGTCTGCTAGAAAAGGAAGTCATCCCTCTTGGATTTGGTTAAGCATTTTAAGAGGAAGGGAGATCATTCAAATCGGAACGAGATGGAATGTCGGGAACGGTCAAAACATTCTGATTTTTGAAGACAAATGGGTTCCCACTCTACCAGGATTTAAGGTGACTTCTCCTGAAACTCAATCTTTGTTTTCTTATGTTTGTGAACTACTTGATGAGGGAGGAGAATGGGATATTACAAAATTAAATGCTAGCTTCAGCAACCAAGAATGCAGAGAAATTCTCAAAATCCCGACTGGGGCATGTCCTGACTCTCTTATCTGGCATTATGATAAAGTTGGGAAATTTTCAGTCAAAAGTGCCTATTTCCTTGCTTATAATATGGCCCGTGAACCAAGTATACATGAGACCAATAGGGACATGACCATCGGAGAATGGAAACAATTATGGCGATTGAAAATTCCCCCAAAGGTTCGTGTGTTTTTGTGGAGAGCTATACTAAATTCTCTGCCCTCTTTAGATAATTTGGTAAAAAGAGGAGTTTTACAAGAGATGACATGCCCTAATTGTCAGGGGGCGGATGAGACCTTAATGCATCTCTTATTTTTTTGCCCTCAAGTAGAACCAATTTGGTTTGGTTCAACCTTGGGTCTTAACCCTAGGCAATTGGGGGTGTTTTGCTTTAGAGAATGGTGGAGATATATTAATGATGTTGCAAAGCAAATGGGTTTACCATCTCTGGTTGAACAATGTGCAATAATCTGTTGGCACATATGGAAGGCAAGAAATGAGAAACACTTTGAACAGGTTAATTTTAATCCTCACCAAATTCTTGCTCGTATCTCTGCTATGATCCAAGACTACTCCTCTAGCATGTCTAAAAACTTATTGCTAACCCCTTCCAAGGCAAGAGATAATGGGAAACAACAGCAATCCTCCTGGGTTAGACCTCCAATGGGCTTCCTCAAAGTCAATGTGGATGCCTCTTTCTCTTCCCAAACGGGTTGGGCCGCACTAGCCATGGTTGGTCGCGACTTTAAAGGTGAAATTCGTTTTGGAGAATTCTGGCTCTCTATGGCACTATCACCGCTTATGGCAGAGGCGGTTGCTTTGTGCAAAGCTGCTAAATATATGGAAAACAGGGGCGCCCAAAATGTCCTGTTTGAATCAGATAACCAAGCTTTAATTACATTCCTATTGCAACCTGCCAAACCAATCCCATGGGAGATTAAGTCAATCATCCTGTCCCTTAGAGAAATCTCTCATCGACACCCGAATTTCATGTTTTCCTTTATTCCACGAAAGGATAACAAGGTTGCAGATTGGGTGGCTAAACAGTCACTTAAAGGGCAATGCCCCTTTTTTTGGGCACATAGACCTCCTAATGTTCTGTTCTCCTTACTTGTACAGGATGGTCTTTGTACATAATGTACATTATTATGAAATACTATATAAATTTCCTTTTCCTCAAAAAAAAAAAAAACACTAACTTGTAACTCGTTATCCTAACCATTATCCTTCTAAAAAAAATGTGATATATTTACATTTATTATTTTACTCAAGATTCTTTTCTTTTTTATTTCGGTCCATAATTCCGGGACGGGGTTAACCTGACCCATAAACACAACCCATTAACTAAACGGGTAATATCAGATCAAACTTAAGTTCAAAAGTTTGGATAAATTCAATGGAAAAAACTGCAACCAAACAAGAGAAACTAAACAAACCTAATATCAAATTCTTTGCAATTTTAACAATAAAGATAATAGAACGCAAAACAGGAAATGCATGAAATGTTCATTTTATTCACCTCAATCCATAACATTTTACTCAACAACAATAGCAACAATTCCAGAAAATAACAAGAAAATGGCGGAGCTTTTGGGTGGCCGATCGGAGTCCAATCTGGAGGGTCCCACTCACGGGATCAGATCCGGATCATTCCCCTCACTGCTGCCCAAAAACTTCTCTTGATTGAGAAAATACCAACAGAAAAGGGAGCAACAGATGACTGAAAACTGGAAGAGGCCGGTGGATTCCAAGGGCTGCCCGGTTGCTGTAAGATGAAAAAGATGCTCTGCGGCTGTGGATTGATGTGTACGAAGAAGCTGGAGAGGCGGACAAGAAGACTGCGGATCTGTCCTGCTACTTCTGATGCAAGAAACGCGAGGAGGTCGGAGGAGAAGATGATCGGAGACACAAAGGGAGGTTGCGCTGCTATCAGGAAAGATGATGGTGACGGTGGCTGAAATTGGGGTTCCAGAAGGGAGAAGAATCGGGACCTTTTCTCTCTTTCTTTTTGTCTGCCGCCCCCTTCTCTCCAAAATCTGCTCACCCTTTGTGCGGCGGTTGTCCCCTCCAAAAAATGCTTCCCACCCTGTTAGGGTTTTCCACCTTTTTAATCCTTTTTTCACCTCCTGCGTGTCGAAAAAATGGAATTGGGTCAAATTTTGGGCCTAACTTTTGGGCCTAACTTTTGGGCCTTTGATCTCATCATTCATTTTTTCTTTTTTATTTTTATTTTTACTTTTCCGTCTCTCTCCTTTTTTTTTTTTTTTTTTTTTTTTTGCACGTCTTTTCCGTTCTCCATTTCTTTGGTGCTTCATCTTAGTGCCTTCTTCGTGTAAATAATCTTTTGTCACAAGAATTAATATTAGGACACACAAAAGATGACCATTGAATTTTTATAGAAAACTTGAAAATAAATATCAAGTCAAAAAATAATTGAGTTATGACAAGTAGATGACACAGAACGAATAGAAAATAGTAAATGCTCTTGTTGGGCACCAATTCGTAAACAAGTATCTTCTCTTCTCCTTCCACACAGGATCCTAATAGTCTCACTAGATTTCGGTGCTGAAGCTTAGCCACCAACACAGCCTCATTCTTGAATTCAACTCCTTGGCCAGACCTCCTCGATAACCTCTTCTTCGCAGCTATTTCTTGTCCATTAGGAAATCTACCCTGAAAATGTAAAACAACTAATCACAAGTCCCAACATCACAGCTTTCAATTTTGAAATTGAATCCCTGGACTTACCTGGTAAACCACCCCAAATCCACCTTCACCTAGTCTATTACTGTCTGAGAAGTTGTTTGTTACAGCTTCAATCGAGTTGAGATCATACTGCTGTAACTCTATAGTGGTTGTTGTATCAGCCGCGGCACTCGTCGCCACTCCCCAAACTGCTTATCCACGCCACCACCCATCCCAGAGTTCACATCACAATCCCATTCCACATGATCAAGCAAACCAAAGGTATAACAAAAATTGAATCGACGTTCATACCTAAAACTAACCCAAATACTTGACCCATCCTCCAACAGAACCCGACGCCCTCGCATTAACGGGCGGCGCACATCCACCTCCACCTTCACCTTCAAATAATCCATGCTCCACGGCCTTCCTTCACCAGCATCAATCGCCACCACTCCGCCAATGGACTGTCCTAGCACACCAGCTGTAGCCACCATCATCCTCCTCAGTGGAACCCCATAGATCCGCACCCAAAAAGGAACCAGATTCACCTCCTCCCTTCTCGGAGTCTCAACCCCCTGCGAAATTGTCAAAATGCCACAGTCCCTCTGCCACCACCCAATCCACATCTGACCGCTGGAAAAACCGAAACAGGAAGAAATTGTCTCACAGCACCCTCATATGCAATCCACCCACTGGCCGCCACGCACCTGCCAGAGTCTTCTCCATCCATGGCACAATGAACCGCTTCCGAGTGAGAACCCTCCCAGCCACGTCCCAAAAACACAGCCTGCCCTCTCACCAAATCACTGTCTCCATTCCACAAGAGCCAGCACCTCACCCTCAACCACCGACAGTCGGAGCCGACTTCCCATAGCCTCCCCTAGATCCTCGACCTCCTCCCGACGAGAAAACATGTTGCCCGCCTCCATGAAAGCCCCCAAACAACCCAATAAACCAAAGAACACAGAAACAGCAAACCGAAACAAGAAAAGAAAAAGAAAGAAAGCAGGGAAACAAAATCAAAAAGGGGTTAAAGCCAACTATAGTCCCTATACTTTGTTTTTCGTTCATTTTTCTCCCTGTACTTTGAAATCGTTCAAAGATCTCCCTCTACTCTCCCAAAACATGCTACTGTCCTCTCTCTACTTTCAATTTTCATACTAGTTATCTCCCTCACCTAACACCGTTACTAACACCATACTAACACCGTTACTACACTACCATCCGAGTTAGGGTTAAAGCCAATTATAGTCCCTTTACTTTTATTTTTCATTCATTATCCTCTCTATGCTTACATTTCATTCAAAGACCTCCCTCTACTCTTCCAAACCATACCATAGTCCTTCATCTACTTTAACTTTTCATTACATTTACCTCCCTCCCCTAACACCCCATTAACAGCGTTTATAACTCCCATCTCACATAAATATCTTGGATAGTTAAGTGTGATGGTTTCCCTTTTTTTTTATTATTATTGTGTTTGTGGGTCCCACAAAACAAGGAAAAAAACTCAAACTTTGTTAATTTAACAAGTATATGGTAATTAGTAATTAACTTCAATATTCTTTAATTTTTAATGCACACAGTCATTTAAACAAAACATCAGTTTTTCTATTTTTATTTGTTTCTTTTCTTGATAATTATTAGAGTGATTTTATTAGTATTAATTTCACATTAAGTTATTCTTTATGATTTTTTTAATCTTGAATTACACAAAAGAAGTTAACTTTTTTTTTTTAATCCTTTAACCCATCTTACTCACACATTATAGGATTTAAGCTTATGATTTCTTAGTTTTAATAAAATTAAATCAATACTGAACTATTTAGATCATTGATTTTTTTTTTCTTTTGACTTTTTTAATCTATTAATATAATTGAAAGTTAATATGAATGATGTTTTCAAAAATTTAGGTCGTATTTGATTGAGTTATTAAAAAATATATTTTTTTTATGGATCATTATTAAGAAATAATTAATACCTACTTTCTTTAATTAAATGAATAAGGGCATTTAAATTATAAATAATAATAATTGTTAATCACTATCTATAAAATATCATTTATTAGTTATTATTAACACTAAATTAAGGCTTTATTTGACCATGTTTCTTGCATTTTTTAATAGTACTTTTTCTAAAATGTAAATTTATTAATTGTAATTAATTTTTAATATGTTTTTACTAAATTTAATTAATATTTTAAATATTTTTACTATAGTAAAAGACAAAATATCTTTGAATATAGCACTATCAAACCAAGTATAAATATAATTGAAAATGTAATACTTTTGTATGATATTAAGGTTTTATTTAACCATACTTTTCAAATACCTTTTTCATTTAGCATTTTATCTAAAATGCAATTTGATTATTATTAATCAATTTTAATTAATTTGTATATAATTTTATTAATTTTAAAAATAATATAATTATAACGTTACCTAATATTATAAGTTTACAATATAATATATTGTTATATAATTAATTATTTTCACTTAAGATCTACATGTGATATTATATGCCACTACAAGAAAATCCATATTTAGTGACTAAATTATTGATCATTAAATCTTTATTTTTCGTCACAAATTATTATTAGTGATAAAATTTAAACCGTTAGTAAAATCCTTGTCACTAATACTCTCAGTGACAAATCAGGCACCTGTTACAGAAAATAATTTTATATTAATAGAAAAAATTGACATTGTTAACAAGTTATTTATAACAATTTTATTCGTCACAAAAAAATATTCATCACAAATGTACTTATGATGCAAAATTTAGTCATTAATTATTAAAATTGATATTAAATAAAAAAGATATTTATATAATTACAACACAA